ACTGCTTCATTTGTGGAAACAAATTTGAGGAAGGAGAAAAGAAGTGTTGGGACCATTGCCACTTTACGGGGCAGTATAGAGGATGCGCCCACGAGGACTGCAATCTACGATTTAGTATGAGATATTATAAAATCCCTGTGTTTCTTCATAATCTTAAAAACTACGATGCCCACTTAATCATCAACAAGGCTCACGAACTGAACAAGAATTCTAAAATAGAATGTATCGCTCAGAACAGCGAAAAGTTTATAACCTTTGGTTTTAAAAATCTTTGTTTCAAGGACAGTTTCAGTTTCTTATCGTCTTCGTTGGATAAGTTGGTGAAGTTGAGTAAATATGAGGATGATAAAAAGCGTGAGAATTGGAAGAACAATTTCAGATACAGCGTTAGAAACCCGTATGTTAAAACCGATGAAGATTTGGATTTATTGACTGATAAGGGTATTTATCCCTATGACTACTTTGATGATTTTGAAAGATTTAAGGAAAGGGCTTTACCACCGAAAGAAGCGTTTTACAGTAAATTAAGTGAAGAACATGTAAGTGATAAAGATTATGAAAGGGCACTGAAAGTATGGAAGCACTTCGGGATTAGAACACTCGGGCAGTATCACGACTTGTATTTAAGAACTGATGTTTTACTACTGACCGATGTATTTGAAAACTTTAGAGACTTGTGTATGGAATACTACGGTTTAGACCCCGCTCATTATTACACATTGCCAAATTTCGCATGGGACGCGATGCTTCTAAAAACTGGTGTTGAAATAGAACAATTGCATGACCAAGAAATGTTTGAGATGGTTGAAAAGGGAATGAGAGGTGGTATGTGTCAGGTAAGTCATAAATTAGCGGTGGCAAATAATAAGTATATGGGGGAAGCATATGATGAGAACAAGCCATCAAATTATATTAGCTACTTGGATGCTAATAACTTGTATGGTTTAGCAATGTCCCAGAAATTACCGCTAAAAAATATCAAGTGGGCAAAGAAAACTCCCATTGTTGAAAAATGGAATGAAAACGATGAGTTCGGTTATATTATGGAAGTTGATTTGGAATATCCCGAAACATTGCACGACTTCCACTCTGACTATCCACTAGCGCCTGAAATAATGAATGTAAATGTGAATATGCTTTCCGATTATCAAAAGCAAGTCTTCAAAATATATTATGATGGTAAAAGTCCCAAGGACGAGAAAACAAGTAAGTTAATATTAAATCTAAAGGATAAAGAAAAATATGTGGTTCATATTAAGACTTTACAGTATTATTTGAAAATGGGAATGAAAATGGGTAAAGTCCATAGGATAATCAAATTTCAACAGAGGGCATGGTTGAAACCGTGGATTGATTTCAACACTGGTAAAAGGAAAGAAGCCAAAAGCGATTTTGAGAAAGATTTATTCAAATTAATGAATAATAGCATATACGGAAAAACCATGGAAGACAAGCGAAACCATATGGATTTTGAATTAGTTGATAATGAAGTTAGATATGAAAAATGTGTGAATAACCCAACATTCAAAAACAGATTTATAATAAATGAAAATCTTGTAGGTGTGGAGAAGACTAAAGCGAAACTGAAACTGGACAAACCGATTTTCCTAGGAATGAGCATTTTAGATTTAAGCAAATTGCATATGTATCAGTTTTATTATGATGTATTGAAAAAGAAGTATAATGAAAATATCAAATTGATATATACTGATACTGACAGTTATGTAATTCAAACAATGACTGATGATGTTTATAAGGACTTCAAAGAATTAAGTCAATATATGGACTTTAGCGATTATCCAGTAGAACATCCATGCCACGATAAAACAAATAAGAAAAAACTCGGTTATTTCAAGGATGAATGCAACGGAAAAGTAATTACCAAATTCATAGCACTCAAACCCAAGTCATATGCTTTTACTATCCATGGCGAGGATGATGAACATAAAAAATCAAAAGGTGTAGTGAAACATAAGGTGAAGAAAGAACTGTCGTATCAAAACTATCACGAAGCATTATTTCAAAACAAAAAGCATGAAATAACATATAATTTTATTCGTAGTCGAAACCATCAGTTATTCTCAATGTCTCAAGTTAAGCAGAGCTTGAGTAATTTTGAAAATAAAAGACATTACTTAGATGCCTTTACTTCTTTACCCTACGGTCATTACAAACTGCGTTAAAGAGAAGATAGTTTATGATAGTATAAGATGGAAAGCAGTAAATACAAAAATGCGAAGATTTACAAAATAACTGATATAGGTTATGACAAATGCTATATAGGAAGCACTTGCGAGAACTTAAGTCAAAGAATGGCACGACATAGGCAAAATCATAAGAAAGCAGAGGAATGGAATACTAAAACGACTTGTCGTTTATTGTTTGATGAATATGGAATGGACAATTGTAAGATTGAATTAATAGAAAATTACCCATGTGAAAACCGAGAACAATTACTGAAACAGGAGGGTTATCATATCAAAAATACTGACTGTGTTAATAGATGTGTTGCTGGAAGAACCTTCAATGAATGGAAAGAAGACAATCAAGAACACTACCAGCAAATGAGAAAGGAATACTCAGAAAAAAACAAAGAACGTATATCTAAAAAAAGTCATGAATACTACCACCAAAACAAAGAAACCATTAATGAAAAGCGAAAAGAAACTATTGAGTGTGAGTGTGGTAGTGTTGTTAGAAAATGTGATATTAGAAAACACGAGAGAAGCGAGAAACACATACGATACAAAAACAAACATATTAATATCTAAATATCTCTAATAATAATGAACTTATTAGAGATGTTTAGCGGGACAGGGTCGGTTGGGGTTGTAGCAAAGTCGCTCGGTTATAATGTTATATCGTTAGATTTGAAAAATGCTGATATTAATTGTGATATACTTGAATGGGACTACAAACAGTTTGACAGAAACCATTTCAATTTTATTTGGGCATCTCCTCCGTGCACCGAATACAGCAGAGCTAAAACAACTGGGGTTAGAAAAATAGATTACGCTAATAGTATTGTTTTAAAAACGTTGGAAGTAATAAAGTATTTCAATTGTCAATACTGGATAATAGAGAACCCTCAAACTGGACTTTTGAAGGAACAACCCTTTATGAGTGGTTTAAACTACTATGATGTGGATACATGTAAATATGGCATGAACTACAGGAAGCGAACGAGGTTGTGGTCAAACATTGAAACATGGAAACCCAGACCATTATGTAAAAGGGATTGTGGTAAGATAAGAAATGGGAAACATTTAGAAACTGCTCAACGCTTGCCACCAAAAACTAAGGCGGAATGGGGTGATAATCCTATATTTCATAAACAGGAAGAATTATATAAAATATCGTTTGAATTAGTGTTAGACATCCTCTGTAGTTTGGAATGAAAACCGAGTTAATCATCTCGTGGGGTCTCCAAGGTGTCCCCAAAATGGGGGACGGGGTGTCCCCAAAATGGGGGACTGGGTGTCCCCAAAACGGGGGATTAGAGGACTGGGTGTCCCCAAAATGGGGGACTGGGTGTCCCCAAAATAGGGGACCGTGTCTCGTTGAAATGAGAGTAATTGAATAATGATACGGTGGAATAGGACTATGGAGAGGATAAGTGAATTAGTTTATTCATAATATTTAATTATAATATGGTTAAACATTGTTTTATAATCTAACAAGAAGGTTAAGACATTTAAATTAAACCTGAAACCCAGACCAGCCGACCAGCAACCCCCTAGCCAAAACTACTTAAAGAAATATTAGCTTATATATTAAGAGAAAAATGAACGGTGATGGAATCAATAATTATATCGATAAAAAATGCTATGATTGTTGCCACTTCAAAAAAGAAAATATGGAATTGTATAAATTGAGTTTACCTAATGAAATAGTGAATAATATTATTAATTATTCAATGGATGGTGAAGAAGACATATGTAAAAATTGTAAAACTTGGAGAGATAATCAATTTTTAATCAAATGTCTGTTGGGAATAAAAAGAATACATAATAGAAATGTAGAAGATGATATTTTAATATTTCTAACTGTAAATAAAATACCACCTTACGATTGTGTTAAACAGTTTCTTAAAATCAGTAAGAAAAAATATGACACGATTTACGATATATTATGGATGTTGGGTTATAGTCAAGAGAAAGGAGAAGATGTTAAAGAAAATATCAAATTATTTATTGAAAGTAAAAAGTTTAATGTTCAGAATACAGTGAGAGATGTTAATATTATTTTTAAAATGATGTATGAAAGAAGTAAGACAAACCAATTAGATTATTATCCTGAACTGAAATTATAATCATAATATAATAATAACATGTAAAATCTTATATGTTATAATTATACTGAACTTTTAACCTATAAAACATAGCTAGACAATCACATAAAAATCACATAAAAAGAAGTTGTTAAGATATATTAAGAATGGTTGTGAAGCAAACTATAATGAATAATTATGGAATGACAGAAGAAAAAGCAAAAGAAGACTTTGGTGAATTCTTCAAATGTAGCAGATGCCTTTATGATAAAACAATTGATGAATTTGGAAATGTAAAAAGTGGAAGAAGATATAAATATTGTCAAGAGTGTAGAACAAAAATAAATAATTGTAGAGATAAACGTCAAAGAAACAAACGACCCACCAACACCCCAGAACTTGATAACTACTAAAAGGGTTAACTCTTTCAAATGAAAAAAATGTTTGCCCCCAGCCCAACAATGAACAAGGGGGGCAATTACCAAAATGATTACCTTAACGAAAACGATAAATAAGCTCCCCAAAAACCCTCTTTTAAAAACGAATAAGGTGGTTAATAGGTTTGAGATGAACATAAAAACCAGAACAGGCAACCATCAACAGGCTTCCCCCCAGGCCCCCTACTTTCTCCATTTTTTCCCCCCCCCCGTGTTTTTAGCCCCCGTTTTTGCCCCCTCGGACCGTCCGACCAGCCCCCTCCCCCCAATGGCCCCTGGGAGCTCCGAGGCGCCGTCGTGCTGCACCCGGACCCGGGCCCCGCCGCAGCGCAGCTCGGTGATGACCCCCGTGGGCTCCGCGAGGCGCGACAGGTGCGCGTCCAGCACCGCCACACGGAAACCCACCTGAGCCGAGTGGGATGTTCTAAAGGGAAGGGGATGGGGAAGGTAGCCAAAAAAAAACAAAGTGGCCAAGAAGAAGTCGTCGGCAAGACTTACTTGAAGGGGCGGCGCCTTCAGGCTTTGCCTTGTGACAAGGCAAAGGATCTGGGCCAAATCCGACCGACGGGAAACCAACCCATGTTTGAGGGATTAAATGATTTCTGCTCAAATCAGACGCCAACCATGCCAACCAGGCCCCCCAAGCCCAAAGCCCTGAGGCAAGGAGACCGGGGATGGTGGGGAAGGTACCAGTAGAAAACCAAGATACCTTCCCCTTTCCCACCCTTCCCCGTTTGTTAGGGGGATCCGGATTTGGGAAACCACGACAAAGGAAATTCCTCACCCAGAGGCTCCCGATTGTTTTGGGGCCTTCAAACAACCTGGTTGTGAGACCCCCCGACCACCTCCAGGGTGTCTACTGGAGGGGTCGGGTCTTCCACTGAAAGCCCCAAAACCTCTGTTCAAGGGCAATGGAGCAAATATCCACCAAGAACGGCTTTCCTGGAGAAGTGGCCCCCTTTTTGCTGGTTTTTGAGATACATGGGAACAAACAACAATATCGAGCATTGGGATTTGCAATTAATGATTGAATCGCTGGCTTTGCGGGATGGGCGAAAGAACCGACGGCATTTTAACGCGAGCAAACCCAACAAAGGAATCTCTTTGTGGTGTCCTCAAATCCACCTGAGCCATGATAAGTTGTGCCACCAACATATCCAAAGTGGCAAATCCTCTCCCTCCTCCTCAATCGGGCTATTCCCAAGGATGCATACTGTCAAAACTTGCTATACCCTCAATAGGTAAATGGGGAGTCTCCTGGTTATATGAGATTTTGTTTGAGATTCCACCATGTCCCTTTCGATTTGACCTTAGGCCATTGGGCATCCTAGACCGTCCAGGTGTGGAATACGCACTGCACCCACAGTTGCCCTCCAACTCAGCCCAATGTTGGCATTATATGCCCACAAGTGTCCAAGCCTTTCTAAGCGCGCCAATTGAGTCACAAGCAAAACTCTGGATGGACCTAAGAAACCCTGGAATGATGATTCTCCTGTAAAGGCCAGCCAGTATTGGTTGCCCCCACTAGCCTTCAACTACCCTCCGTGAGTGCCTGGTCACAAGAACTCAAAGCCGAACATGAGCTTGCATATATGTATGTTTAGGAACCTTAAAATCGGTTTTGGCTGCCTGGCAACAAAATTCCCTCGCTTCCTTCTGCAGTACCCCGTGGCTATCTATGAGTTTGCCATTGGTTTCCCTGGTCTTGCTTCAAGTTGCCTTTGGTTGTCCTTGAGCTTCTTTTGGTATCCTGGCAAGGTTCCTGGCGCACCTTTTCAAGGCTGTAAAGCAAATGGTGCATATAGGCCACAAATACCAGGGTCATTCAAAGGACGCCCTCGCAACAACCTGCAAGAGGTGGTGACTTGTTGGTGTGCCTTTCCAAGCCGGAAACTGCAGAGGAACATCCAAATCGAAACCGTAGAGAGACCCTCTCCAAGAAAGTGCACTTTAGTGGACCTCTCCAAAAAGGTTATATATATATATATGTAAATATATATATATATGCATTTGTCCTGCAAGCAACTGGCCGATCATGTGATGTTTAAAACCCCTGTGTCTTAGCTTTTGCCCACAAATATCTGCCCTAAGAAACCCTGGAATGATAATTCCACTGTAAAATACCAACAAACAATGGTTTCCCATGGTTTCAAAGCGGCGCAGGATTTCGTCCAGCCACCGTACCCCAAACTCCAAACCAAAACACAAACTCGACACGCTGGGCTGTTTGGCCAACCCTGATCCTTACATACCCTCCCCGTAGCATAGCATCTCACAGGGGGTCTTTTTAAGAGGAAACTGATCTTCCACATCCCACAGGTGGCTTCTGTTGATGGGAGGGTAATCCCCAAAACGCCAAGGAAAAGCTGCACCCTTCACGCCACGTCGCAGCTGGTGCCACGTCTCTGCCCAGCACGGGTGCGAGGCCTGCTAGGCCCAAGTCCGGTTCGGTGGAAGTGGACGGCGGTAACCTCCGATTTAGGTTGCATCATGCCCTACAGGCAGGAAAAAGGAGGTTAATTTCAACTATGGTTTCTAAGTGTATGGAATTTGGACGATTGGGGGCGGCCTCTGCCTTGGTCTAGCTACGCGCCGCCGGGTGGCGTGAAAAACGGCCCACCCAGCCCAGGAATCCAGTTCACCTCTCGCGCTCAAGGTAAAGGAGCCGGCAACGGGTGGCTTCTGATTTCGGTGTGGCTCAAAATTAAACAGGAGGGGCAAGCCGCAGGTTGTGGTCCATGTTTCCATTTTTTCATGGCAACCCATTTTGGAATTCCGGTTTTTTGAGCCACAGCCATTTACCCAGCCCATCATCCAGGGTTCACCTCTTGCCCCCGGATATCCCCCCTGCTTGCAGAAAAGCGGCCGGCTGGCCGGGAGGCTCTGCTCACCTGCCACAGGTGCCAAAAAGGCCGCACCAATTGCCCAACTCGCTTGGCCAGTGACCAGCCCAAATAAAGTGCAACCACCTGGATCGCCAGTTGCTGCTTTCTTGCATCCACTTTACCCCAAAAAACAGTGACTTAAAAAAACAGCAACTTGGCTATCTAGGCACTTTTTGGGCCACTTAAATAAAGGGAGAGACACCAAGGAAAAAAGGTGTAAAGTGTGTCCACTGGCTGGGTGAGCCAAAGGATCTGGAAGTTCACACAGGTGGCTTCTGCTAGTGGGAGGGAAGTACAAGGCGATCACCTTTGAGACCTTTACCACAAATCGACCAACATGAAAAGACCAAGAGGTCAGATCCGGTCGATTCGCTTGCAAAGCAATTCGCGATTCGAGGATTTTCACAAAGCCTTGGAGCGGCCAGGGGCGCTAAAGGACAGGACCCGTCAACCCCCAGCCTGCTCTAGGCCCTCGAGGGGTTAGAATAAGCCTATACCCACTTTTTTCCTTGTAGTCTAGTAGGGGAACCCTCCCCCAAAAAAGTGGTGAGAAAGGGCACTACTGGGGGACCTAGTCTTGGAAGCAGTCTCCCAAGCCCAACGCCGAATCAGCCTAACGCCTTGGAGAACCCGAACGGGCCTAGCCGAAGTGTCCAAAGTTTATGCGGGTCCTTAAGGTTAACAAGGAACCATGCCTTAGAAAGGAATCCCAAAACCAACCCCAAAGGAAGCACCCTCCAAAATGAGACGCCCTCCCCGTGCAATCCCAGGATTGAATCGGGACCCGCGAGCGGATTGCGGAAAGCAGCCTGGGAGGCCCTCCTCAGCTGCGAAAACGGAACTTGCCAAACCCCTGGTATCAGCCTCCCTCGTTTCGGGTGTTTGGGTTGAAAAGTTCGGGGGGCGCATCA